TACATCACTGTGTCTTGCAAATCATCTTGGATGAAAGATTTGGCCAAATAAACAATTCCATGGATAACGGAAGTTTTAATTATTATTACTGTTAAGTAATAATAGTGATTGCTGTTGTAAAAGCACACAGTTGTGCAGTTTAGGTCTGAAATTAAAAGTTTACCCTCTGTTTCTTCAGAGTGTGAACAGTTTAATTAACTTCTACAATATGAAAGACCTTACCGTTGAGAACAGAGCTTTCAAGAGAATCAAAAACCTTTTGAACCATGATGGAAGTTAAAAGCTATTTTTATTACATATTACCACCTTAAGGCCAAAACCTTGATAACTCAGTGTACTTGTAGGCTTCTGGTGTAAGAGGAGTACTTACAAAATTCTAGACAGCAGTTATTTGCTAATATATAAATTAAGAATTCCCTTAAACCAAGTAATTGAATATTAAATATGAAGGTAAATAGATTTTATGTATATTACTTCATAAGTTTTTAAAAATAAAATACATTATGCATAGACCATTATAACTGGTTATAATTTATGTTAGGTATTCACCAAAAATAAAGCTATATCCATCCAAATACATATAGGAGATTAATATACAGTATACTTCATAAAGCAGCCATTTATATTGTCCCTGTGTTTTTTATACATTTCTCTATTAGTTTCATGTCTTCATAGTCTTTCAAATATACACCAGACATGAGTCAAAGAACAAAACTAATTTGAGTCTTTGTGTAACTGGCTCAAAATCTCAGATGTAATGCAGTCTCATCAGTTCTATTTTAAAAAGTAATTGGGTGGGAACAAATAGTTTCTTAAGTGCTCAACACTTAAGAAAGTGCCACAAGATATATTCCTGGGCTAAAATGAATGCTCTGCATGAATCTGATAGAGTAATTGAATAATTTAAATCAAAGTACTCAAAGTTCTCAAAGGGATAGGCAAAGTCATTCCAGTCGTCTCCTTCAGAATCAACAGTGAAACATAAAGCAGAGGGCACAAGTAGAAGCTATTTGAAAGTGCATGCAAGGACACTCCTAAGTGTCATGAATATGAAGCAGTTCTATAAGAAAGAATGGGACAGTGAGAGACTGTTGCTGGATTTATGTTTTTCTTTTCTTCTTATAGTTGACCTGTTCTAGTAAAACTAATGCTGTCGTTATTGTTCTCTTAATAAGAATAGAATAGAAAAAGCAATTTTTATCCTGAGTATTGTTTTTATAATTATCAAAATTAACTGAGTTTTATTGAACCCCACATCACATATATTCCTCTTTTTCTAGGTGGTCGCAGCGTTTGGGCCATCACTCCTGAAGAGAGGGATAAACATGACAAACAGTTTGATGCCCTCCAGCCTACAATGGGCTTTGTATCGGGTAAGAGCAAAAACAAGATTCTGGTAACTGGTTGTGACCAGTGTCAAGCATTGTTTTGATCTTATTAAGCAAAATGGAGTACCCAAAAATCTTACCATTCATCACTAGGCACTTTGAGTTACCCATGCCGATTCCATGATTTTTGACTAGTGTTAAGTAGGAAAGTAGAGATCTATTGAAAACCAGGTTTCTGCTCTAAGTGATGTTGGCAGACCAGTAGGTGTACCTCTGTAGGAGGTACCATCCTTCATACTAGATATGAATCCAAGGTCCTGACCTTTGTCATTAAAACTTCCATGGCACTGTTCATCAATGTAGGGGAGTTACACCCATGATCTGGCTTAATTCCACTCTGGACATGCAGAGTTTTACCTCCTTAAAAGACCAAACATATCTCACAGATAAAGCCATTGAAGGAGTTTGTGAAGTGTGCTTAGTAAACAGTATTTAACAGTGGTTTGAAGTTATGTGGTATTGTGCCCTTTTTTCACTTGCAGTTTGGTCTGAGTACACTAGTTCACCAAGGGGTTAGCAGCTTCTCTAAGAAAAGGGAAAAGAAAAACATTGTAGATTTCCACTGGAAAAAGTAATTATACTTCATTAGCTCAGAGAAACCATAGATTAGTGGATGCTATCCAAGTTTATCAAGCTCATCTAGTTACATGTCTATAATGTCTAATAGCCAGCACTAGGATGACCCCCTTCCCATGTATGAAATCCCTTTGAAACCTACAGTACCCAGGAAGAAAAACTTTAGTATGGCCAATCAACCCTAACCTGTATATCTTTGGAAAGTGGGAGGAAACTGCATTTATTGATATAGTGTGTTGGTTCCTAAGGTTCAGGCTCATTGAATTGCCTCTGATGTTACTTTTACACTACACCTGAGTTATATTGTGCATGCAATAAGCAAGCTCAATCAAAATGCAAGGCATCTGTGCAGGTTTAGTGCTTAGTATTAGGTGTTTTCATAATAATGAAACATTACCATATTTACAAGTAGTTTGGAATTCTTCATAGAAAAAAAGTATTTTAAAGGTGACATGAAGTAGTTCAGAAGATCACATACTTTTAAAATCATTGATAACTCAACACCTCATTACCTATTCCCTACTGAGACTTGGGCCTTTTAGTTAATGTACTTGAATTTTAAAGAAAAATAGAATACATTTTTGCTTCTCTATTGTATTGTTCGAGGAACTAACAGCTTCATTTTGGTTTCTTTGTCACTGCATTGCTTCCTGATGTCTGTCTGCAGCTTTGTGATGAAGTAGAGTACAGTTGTGCACAGAGTACCAACATGATCTCAAACCAACACAGTGGCTTCATCATAAAAATATCTGCATTCAAATGAGAAGGTGGCTACTAATGCACTTGCGGCAATTATATTTTTTTCTTTTTCACATAATGTAAAACAGCTTTCCTTTATTGCTTCTTGCATGCTATTGTTCCTATGTGAGAATAAGTCCTAAACTCACACGTTCATTCAGTATTAAAAGAACACAGAGAAAAGTAATTTTAATTTCACTTAAATATTAAAAACGTGATTTGATTCGTTTATCTTTTAAAGCTTTGAGCACAACAAATGGTAACCCAATATTTGTTGGCAGTGTTTTTTGGTATATTCACTATTGATGAAAAAGTAGGGAAGTTTAGTGTCTTAAAAAAAGAAACCAAATAGTCTTCATGCACTGACTCCTCCATTTATTTCCTTTGTGACAATTGTTTATGAAAAGCTCTTTGTCATGAAAAAAAGATTGTGTTGATAGCATTTCCCAGAAATGGGATGTGGTGTAGGAGTAAACCTCAGGTTTCCTTTCAGATTCTTCTTTCTTCTGTGTTGCAACACCATATGATCTGACAAAAAATAACTAGACACTCGAAAACTTATATTTAGTTTACAGGTACTTTTGTGTCCCTCAGATAATTTGCTTGTATGAATGTCTTGAAATTCTACCATTAAAAGCTTGTTTACATTTAGCATTTCTATTTGCATGTGTTTATTAAACTATTTAGTAGATTTTTATTGTCTTTAGATTTTTTTCAACTAGTTATTTGCTTTTTGGATCTGGATATCTGGATCTTGATACCTAGTAGTAAGGCCTCAGTCAGCAGATCTCAGAATAGGTGCATGATTAAACCTATGCCATAAGACTTTAAGATGACCTGGAACTAGACTGCTCAGTGCTTTGTATGTGGTCAGGTTAAATTTGAAATCTGTATTCGATTTCACGGGAAGCCAGTATAATAACAGAGGATGGGCATAATATGAGTACATTTACAGAGTACATTTACATAGCATGTGAGCCAGAATTGTCAACATACTGAAGCCTCTTTTAGTACCTTAAACAATACCCAAGTAACTACTTATGAAAACAGACATGAGGAGGCCTTTCGGTCCATCTGGCCTGTTTGGTATTTCATTGTTAATTGGTCCAAAGATCTAATTCAGTTGTTTTCTGAATTAAGTCACAGTATCGGCTTCAGCAGTGTAATTGGGTAGATTGTTTCATATACCCACAACCCTTTTAAGTAAAGCTAGTTATGTAAGCAGTTGTCCTTTGATAAAATAAAGCCAATATTTCGGCATTAGATACATGGAGCATAAATCTTAACCAAGCAGTCTTATGCAGGCCCTGTAAATGCTATGCATAAAAATGAACTAATAACCCCTATTTCACAAACTTCCTTGGCATCATTCTATTGCTTACATAGAGCTCATTCATTTGTGTATCAAGAGAGGTTTGTGTAAAGTGGCTGGATGGGATGAGGGGGCTGTTCTTGTTTATAACCTCTCTTATGTTCTTATAGAAGAACAAGGAATGACACTAGGTTTTGTAGGAAATGCAGCAGATTAGTTGAATTCATCAAATTCTGTCTGCATCATAGATATAGAACTATCAGGTTCAGTAAGACAGCCCAGTTAGTATTTCATGTTTGAACACAATATGAATGGATTGACCTCTGAATGGATGCAGTCAGTTTTAACTGCCCTGACTTGGTTAGTACAGTACTCTATGTTTATTGTATTTAGATCCTAAAGAAGTTCTATAGCATGGAAAGGGTGGATTGGGCACCATCAGGCATCCTGAATAATCACATCATTGCTATGTTTTGTATTTAAGGGTTTTGCTGTATATTACTTATATACTTATATTCACTCAGTTGTATTGAAATCCCACAGCATAGTGAGCTACATCTATCAACTGCAGAGGTGCAAAGATTTGATTAAATCTTTTTGTTTGTTTAGGAGATCAGGCTCGGAAGTTCTTCTTGCAGTCGAGTCTTCCTGCTCCAGTCCTGGCTGAGATATGGTGAGTCCAACGGCCAATAGTTTCTGATATTTTATCATGGACTTGACAGACTAGCATGGATAATTTGAAGTCTTTTTTTAATAAAAGACTAGAAATGTTTATAACATTGTTTATGTTAACTTCAAGTTACCTTCATTTCTAAATGTTTATATTACCTTACCATGAAAGGTTTTCATTTATAGAACTTAATGCTCCTAGAATGCCTTAAACCTAGAATGTCTATTTCGCGCAAATATTCAGTTTACACATCATTTTATTCCTTATTATTTCTGGGGAAGGAACATTAAATGGGCCCTTTTGATAAAAAAAAACATGTTTACTAATATTTTTTTAATTATTTAGTTTTATTTGGAAGGTATTAAAAAAAGTCTAGGATTGTAAAATAAATAAACATTGTCCACCATATATCACTACGCATTAGTGAAACTGGTTTGTTTATGTCTTTGTTGTGGTCCATTGCCAGGAGTGAAAAGGGATTTTTCAAAATGTTCTCCTAGCAAGACACTTTCTGTCTGCAATCTGCATCTGTTTCTCCTGGAATTACTTATTAACTAAAAATAGCAGTTATCAGTGTAGAATTTCTAGATGTATGCATGGGAGAACTAACACCAGTTTCCATGAAAAAGACACATGGTTAACATGATAATGATTCCTGTTAAACGTTCACTTCGTTACCTGGCCTGAACATCACCATGTGGTGGCCCAGCTTCTTCCTTATGTGACTCCTAGACATGTCATCTTTACCTGAATGCAGTATATTGAACTTCAGCCCGGCTTCACAGCTAAAACAGATACCTTTTTGAACTTATATATTTTTTAAAATTTGTTTTTACAAACAGGGCCCTAGCAGATCTGAACAAAGATGGGAAAATGGACCGCCTAGAGTTTTCCATTGCCATGAAATTAATCAAGCTCAAACTCCAGGGCCACTGTCTGCCATCAGCTCTCCCAATCATAATGAAGCAGCCACCAGTGCAGTCGCCACTGACGTCATCACGCTTTGGTAAGGTCAAAGAGTGAAGGGTAGGGAAATCATACAGATTCCAGACCTAATCTAAATGAATAACTAGTCTGCTTGGTTAATTGTAGAGGATCATTTGACCATGATTTGCTTTGCATGAAGCCACTGAAGGAGACCTTGAAGCTGTGCTGTATTTGAGTTGCCTTGCAGCGAACAGGGATTGGTCTGGATTCATCAGTCCACACCATACTTAAATTGACCTCAAGTTACTCATTTTAGTTATAGCTAATCTTAAAATTGCACTTTTGATTTAGATTTCCAAAATAATTAAAGCCATGAACATACCGTATCTCTCCTGACCATTCCATAATTTTAGTTCACTTTCTTTTAAGAAGGATTATTGAAATGTCCATTGCTTTTACTAATTTAAATAAGCACTGTGAAGAACATATTTGATTGTCAAAGTATCTCAGATATTTTCAATATGTTTATGATATTTGAATATTTTTAAATTTGGGTTTCCTGTGATTTAATGATGTACGACAAGTCTAAAATAACTTTACTTTTCAAAGAATTTCAACTTAAATTGAAAGGCATTTTAGTGTTCCATTACATGGTCCCCAGTGGAAATCCCTTTATCCTCAGTGTGCTTCCTTTTTCATTTGCTTTTACATGAATTGGAGGAGCAAACTTGGTGATTTAAGGGCTTTGTTTTGCAAAATAAAATGGAATGCTTTAGGTGATGCATGCTTTCACAAAAAAAAATGTGAAAATGCAATAAATGGCTGGTCTTTTCATCTCACAGCTTTTGGTTTGTGAAATGAAAATTAAAATGGCTTTTTAATGTCCTGAGATCTGTCTTGTGAGGTTTGCCAATTTGCTTTCACCTAGGAATGGGAAGTATGCCAAATCTCTCTGTTGTTCCTGCCATGCCCATGACCATGCCCATGTTTGCTCCTTTGCCACTTACTACGTCGATGAGCCCCCTGAGCCCGATGGGGCTGAGTGCCCCCCTGGTGCCTTCTGTGAGCCCCTCAGCGTTGCCGAATGGGACCGCTGGCATCCTTCAGCCTTCCCCTGCCTCATTTACTACAAGTAAGCTGCAGCATTCGCTGACATTTCACATGTACTCTGATTCTCTCCTGTACCTTCCTTCCCATTTCATTTCTCATCCTGCAGCTTGCTGAGCTTTATTGGAAGAGCTGCTGGAACCTTATGCGTGCTCTACAGTAATCTGAGGTTTCCTTTGTAGAACTCCATTTAGCATGAAGTGATCCAAAAGAAAATAAATATTATATCTAGATAGAAATAATAACTAAATGAGACTGAGACGGTAGAATACTTAACATTGTGCTTCTTTTGGAGTTCAAACAAAGGTTAATGTTCAAACCATAAAAGTAAAAATGAGCTCTGAGTGAACACCTGGTTTGGGTAACAGAATATTCCAGATAAACCCCAGCTCTCATTTGTATAGTTTATCTTATATGTTGGGTCAACATCCACAGTGAACACTGAATACAGAGTAGTATCTGTGTGGTGTGTATGTGGAGGAGGTGGTTCGAAATTTTGTTTTTCTTTGTAGTTTTTGCTGACATTTTCTTCTTTTACCCATGAAGTATTCAGTTTGAACATTACAACCTTCAGCTAAAATATTATATTCAGTCTAAGAAATGTGAATAAATCATTTGAACTTCAGCTAAAAGGGATATCATTAGAAGGAGGCAAATACCTTTTCAAGTCACTTTAAAAATTTTAAATGAGAGAGAAAAGGGCAATAATCTATACATATATTTCAGCTTTTAGTATGTTTCCTATTTTATTTTTAGAGTTGATTAGCTTTAAAATCAGAATGTAATCAAGCTAGAAATACTCCGGAGTTAATATTGTATTATTGTGACTGTTGTTTCTGTTTTCTCAGTACTGCCTCTGACTAGTTCTGTACCTTCATCTTCAGTGGGATTAGGAGGTACTGGAATGACAAAAACACAATCCTTATTAGACTTGGGGTCCAGCAGGTGAGACTGACCTTGAAATCATAAATACCATAATAGGAGCCCACAAATTTATCTTCACTTCATACATTATGCTATGTGTGTTAGATAAATATTATCCCATTTTATTACAAATTGATCATTAATGCATCGAAGGGATTTTCATTTAGAAAAGCAGCACTAAACTTAGATACCTTTGTAATACAAAATATGATATATCCAGATGTAGTCAAATTAATATCTTCTACCAAAGCCAAAGTCTAGTTTTCAAATCTGCTGTCAGTCAATAGGTTGTTCTCATAGCAACAGAAGCCACTTCGCCACAAATATCAGCCAGAAGCTGGTATTTCAGTTCTTGTCTAAAATTCAGTATCTACAATATTTAAGTACAAAACAACATAAAATGATACTATTTCAAATTATTGTGCCTGAAGCACACTCATTTTTTATTAAGTGAACTATAAATGCATTGGATGGAAGAAAAATTAAACTCTTGTGCAGAACCAGTAATACAAAACATGTAAAATATTAATGTCCCCATCATTTCTCTGGTACAACAATTTCTTAGAAGAACAACATCAAGGAAAATACATGCATACAAATAAATGTTTTCTGCCTTGTGCTTGTAAAATTAAGCCCACGTTTGCCTGAAACACATCATGACAACAGATACTGCACAATAGCTCTGAATTTCATTTTTTCTAGTTGCAAGTAATTTTTAGGCTCTTATTGTGTCGGCCAGGCTGAGTTTCCATTAGACGTTCACCTTGCCTTTGTCCAGTCTTAATACAGTCATACATCAACTTCTTTGTCATTAATCTTCAGAGACTTTAGTTTGCTTTTGCAAACTTTGGCTTCAAATATAAAAAATAATAATTTAAATGTGTCTTTATTTTAAGAACACAGAACATTGATTTGTTTATCAGCCTACAAACATTTTATGAGTGATATCATCAGAACTATCAATTTATTCATCATATTGAAACTGTAATATAATGAATGCCTCTAAGATGGCACTAATGAATAAAAGAAAATAGGGAAAGTTCTTACCAAATTAGTGTTCCATAAGCGGAGTTAGTGCACTAAAATGTAATGTCACATTGAAGTGGTGATTATTAAGGTTCTCTCCGTTCAAAATTCTTTTTTCATTACAGAACATTTACTTCCCAATAGACTGTGGCTTACTGAGATTTGTTCTGCATTTCGTGAATAAGAATAAGGTTCTGTGTTCCTTCTGAATATTGTTTGAATGTTATAGAAGCAGGTCATCATATCGCAGAAACCTTTTAATAGTCAAGTTAAAAACTAAACAGGTTTATTTTCCTTTTCTTGCAGTTCGAATTCATCCTCAACAACCTCTCTCACAAGCAACTCTCCCAAGGCTGGTTCTGGTGACTGGGCCGTACCTCAGTCCTCACGGCTGAAATACAGACAGATTTTCAACAGCATTGATAAAGCCATGACGGGCTACCTCTCAGGTGATTGGATAACATTTGTGTGTTCTCAGGACTGCACTGTGCAGATATTTCATAAATCAGTACATAAGCAAGATATGCATTGATCAAAAGTTGTACACTTTTTTGTTTATTAATCCAGGACTGATGTAACTGTAGTATGTTCAGTGTCGAATAATATCGCAATGCGTTCTTTTATTGTGTGGTAACTGAACTGAGTAAAAGCTATTAAAACACCCTACAGCAGAATGGTTTATTATAGTATTGAAATCTAAAACCATACTGGTGTGTCTGAGATCAGAAAACAGCTATGAGGTAATTACATACAATATTTAGTGTCAACAAATGTATTTCAAAATCATTTAATGAGGCATTTGGACTTTCTACAATTTAGCATCTATTTACATAGGAAATAAGCTATATATTCTTTGTGACCTGGAGAGAGCCATGATTTAAAGAGAATCCCAAATTTCCCTAAAACACAAATGTCAGTGTTTTTGCTTATCCAAATTAATTTTGTATTGTGGGTTTTAATTATCAGTACATTATTATTCATTACATAACATTTAACCTGACTTAAAAATAATCAATTAAATATATCCAGATAAATTCTTCGTTTTCACAGTCAGTTTCCCTACTGTATAACAACAGGAGTTCTGGACAGCAAAGTGCTGTTTATTTCTTGGCTGTTACCTCATTAGCAAAAATAACTCTGTTCCAGCTAGACCAGTTTTATTGCAGCTGAGGTGTTAAAAGACTGAATTGTAGTGGAACATTTAAATCTGTAAAAGGTTATCTTGTTCCTTGCCAGTGTAAAATGAATACTCTTATCGAGGTATTGGAAATATGTATGGAATCAAAGAGGTGTTGCATATTACATGGAAAATGAGTAGTTACTTTTGGTACATTGTAGATTTATACAATTATTCCAAAATCTAACCTATGTTTTTGTACTGTTGCTTAGTTAATATATACACAAATCCTATTCTTTTTTCAATGGAATATTTATTGGAAACTGTTTAGTATACCTTATTACTGGCATATCAGGATTTTTTTTTACAGGAGTTTAAAAAACAGCGACATAAAACAAATTAAATAAAAAGTTTGTTTGAAGTCATGAACCACTATTACTGCACACAGACAGAGGGCATTCATCCAATTGTGTGCCTTTTTAAAGTGTTTTTTATCTACCTAAGTTAATATTGGTTTGCCACAGCAAAATTTTTGAAGAATAAAACAATCATGACTTTTCGATTTTCCATTAATTATTTGTTGCATTTATTTTTTGATTTGAAAGTGTAGAATAGGTTGTGAATATAACAAATTTTAATCGCTATTTCAAAGTGTCTTGACTGCAAACAGTAAACCAAATGTGAATACATTTGCAAGGCATTGCATGTGTATACTTGAATTATGTAACGCACAAGTAAAAATATAAACTTTTCCTGTGAAAAATTAGATTTTAAGATTTACTTATCTATAACCCTGTTATCCAGCTTTCAAATTACAGTATGATTCAAAAGTATTACTTGAGTGTAGTCACATTAGTGGTATTTGTCAGGATTAACGGAATTTACAGAAAAAAAACATTATATTTACTCTAGCATAACAACGTGTCTTTTTAATATTTTATTTCTACGTCATTAAGAGTACAGTGGTGATTGGGTTATATTGGAATATTGCTTCATGATACTGGTGCAGAGCAGTACAGTGGTTAGCCCTGCTGCCTCGCAAAGCTGGAAACAGGTGTCAAAATCCAGACATGGGTTGCTATCTGCGAGGAGTTTGTATGTTCTCTCCATGTTTGCGTGGGTTTCCTCATTCAGTCCAAACACGTACTTGTAGGTTAATTGGCTTCTGGGAAGGTGGGCCTTAGATGTGAGTGTGTGCGTGTCTGTGTTTTTGTCCCGACACACGCACTATGAAGCTGCCTTGTGCCATTTACTGTCAGACGTAGGCTCTGACTCCTGATTGGAAAAAGCAGTTTGAAAAAGGGATGGATGGGGAGAGTAGTAGAATCTAGCTGGAGTAGCTGTGTTTTTTCTTGGGTTAATGTCCCTGCTCTGCAGTATCAATTAAAGAAGATAAATGCCTCTTTTTTTTTTTACAAGGTGCTTACAGGAAAGGCAGCTGGCACCGAATCCTTGTGGTTTACATATGTTGCAATCACAAAAGGCTTGTTCTGTCAATGGCTTACAAAACCTTTTTGAGAAAAGTAATAAATGAAGGAAAGGTGAATCAATGGCCAGAAGTTACAAAAACGCACTCAGGGTTTTCTGATAAACTTGTAGATTTCTGAACTAAAGGCATACATTGTTAATACCTCAATCTAAACCTACAGTTAACAACTCCATTTCACAATGTCACCATCCTTCTGTCAACACAGAGCACATTTTGAACACTCTTCTAGGTTACAGTTCAGGAAAATTCAAATCATGTTGTTATTGACAATACTATTGAATTCATGTTACATGATGAAAGGAACTTCATGTCAGGAATTAAAAATATCTATAGACCTATTTCGTTTAAATGTGGTGCATCATGTGTAACCGGTGGCCCATAAATCATTTTTGAAGGCCACTAGAGGATCCTCATCCCCAGCACAGTCTGGCCATGTGATCCACACACCTGCGTCTGTTTTGTTTAATGATTTGACTCTTCTCACAGCACACAAATGTGTTTTATCTTAACATCTGTTGACTTTCTGATCTGCTTTTCTCCATTGATTTTGACGTAGCATTTGGTGTTTGGTCAGTCTTTTGTTAGGAATTAATCTTTTTTCCAAGCTGAAGCAATTCTTTTCATGTAACTTTTCAGTCTTCCATTTAGATATCTGTCCGAATCCTTACTGTTCTTCTTATCTGCACATATTTCAGAGCAGTATTGGCCTTTTTGTAGTTTTGTGGAGGACAATTTTCTAAATAACATGGTGCTTTTAACAATTATGATGTGTTGATGTCATTGTTATTTCTGACCAGGAAAAATAGTTTCGGTTGTAGTGAAAACAAAATCACTATATGCCTTGTTTATTCCCCGTGGTAAAGAAGAGGTCTTTACGGATACATTTGCATTTTCCAGGTCCTCAAGTTAGGAATGCTCTGGCCACATCAAATCTCACTCAAACTCAGCTGGCTACAATATGGTAGGCACTTGTTTTAATTTTACTGTTTTACATAACAGCAGTCGTCAAAGTAGTGTTAAAGTACCATCTAGGCTTTATATTTTCTCAAAGGACTACTATTTTTAGTTGCTGTATATTTTATTAAAATTCAATCTTATTTTGATAAATAAGATAAAACCTTAAAGGGGAACTGCATCCCAATTTCTCAGACCAGTTATTAAATCTCAGTAACAAAATA